AATTTATTCTTTTAAAATGAATAAATTCATAAAATTAGGGACAAGTTGTCGCAAAAATAGTGCAACAGCAAATAGATTATCACAAAAAGCACTATCTTTGAAGAAACTGAAATCTGTATAAAAAGTTTGGTGCTACTAAATCTAATTAAGTTCAGCAGATGTAGTATATATGGCTATGTATCAGCTTCTGTAGAAGATCTTCACACAGTGTACTGCTTCTCAGAGGACCAAGAAATTAGATTTGCACTCAAGAACACCACCAATCTAGTAGTGGACCTCCTAACATTTAGGTCTCCTGCACAATCAACATCTTAAAAGCCTTTAGAGACAAATCACTTTTAGAATAAGTGAAAGACCATATTTCATAGTACCCTTTAGATACCTCTTTACTGCAAAAAAGTTGGACACCATAAGATTCAGCATAAATTGGTAAACATAATGCACGGAGAATTTTATATATGGTCTTATGAATGTGAGGTATTGGAAAGCTCCTACAATGCTTCTATAAGCAGTAGGATTTGTTTAAGAAATGTCATCATCCTTGAGAAGCCTGTTATAGGGCAGACATAGAGTATCACAAGGTTTTGACTCAATCATCTCAGTCTTATGCGGCAAATCTTGGATGTACTTGGATTGAGAAAAAAATAATCCATTAGCAATGTTGGTTATTTGAATATCAAGAAAATAATACAGAGTACCCAAATCCTTAATATCAAATTCACTTGTCAAAGAAGACTGTTAGAGATATGTCTTGAAAGTCAATCTTGAGAAGAAACCTTTTAGGATAATGTCATAATGTATAATTAAGTCTAATGGAATAAAAATGCAAAACTACTCTTAGGACTATCTCAATAAACGATATAAATCCAAGTAGTGAATCCGTCAACAATGGATTGCTTCAATATAAAGGATGGAAAGTCTCAAACCATATATGTAGGGATACTAAGTATGTAGGTGATGGTTAAGGGAATGAGTCCACTAAACATAATCAAAATAAAGCACTTGCATGGAGGTCTACTCACATGTCATGCAAGTAACTCTACTAGTCGGAATAATGTAAATAGTTATTTAACATGAGACATTATAGTTATCTTAAGGATACGTTGCTGATCATTTGACAATGAGACGTGACCACATCTCATCTTGGATGTGTTCTATGCATTGTTAGGGTCAGTGATTTATTGTCAAAAGCATGTGAATGTTCAACCAGGAATATCTAATCCTTGGTATGAGAAGATGAATACTCTAAGATATGATTTGGGAATCTTTGGCCGAACTATCAAGCGTAATGAAGAAAGGCATTCCTACACGACTCATTGAATCATATAAGATAATATAATCACATTAGAGGTTTGACATAAAGTATTCATACCCTGGTAATGTGATTAAGAGTATTGAATTAGAGAATGATTGAATTACATTGTAATTCCAACTGAATAGGTTCTCCAACCAAATTCTACATTAATTTAGGTAGTCATGATATATGATATCACTCATGGCTTGTGGGTTCTTCTATATGGTTAGACAAGTAGTCATCAAAGTGGAAGGAGAATTAAAAGTAAGTTTTAATTCACTAAGTGATTGAATAAATATTAATCAATTGGATTGATACCAATCACCTCACTACCTCGCTAATTAAAACCTAAAATGATTGTAATCGTGTGATGACATAGTTAAAGGATGATGAAATTACTTAATTAGATTAATTAAGTGTTATCATTAATTAGAAAGTCTAAATAAATCATACAAGTGATGAAAGTTAGGACCTTTGGAAGTAGGCGTAGAGTTATTTGCCACCATGGCAGAGAGAAACTAAGGATTAACATTGTTTTCAACAATTAATTCTTCGACAAGTAACTAAGATCTAAAATCTTTGAGAGATATTACACTTTCATAACCCCTAATCACACACCTAAAGGTATTATACTCAGGAGATAAACCTTTTTTTTTTCTTTTTAACAAACTATATTATCTACATTAAGGGAGAGGGGGCTTGGCTTAGCCTCACAATGGGCTAGCAATAATGTGGTTCAAATTCACTTTTGGCGAGAATCGAACCTAAGATCTCTCACTTACAAGTGAAGAAGAATAGCACTAGACCGTAGTACTAAGTGGCTACTCAGGAGGTAAACCCTTAAGAGCAAGGATCACAATATTTTCATCAATGAAAAAACTCCAGCATCTAAGAGATAATCCCTAGCTTCTTTGATTCTCTATAAGTATTGAGACACTATTTGAACTCTTCTAAATTTTGTGAAGGGTAGACTTCATTTGAAATATACTAGTCCTACAGACAGTGGAGAATTGTTCATTTAACCTAATCCAAAGATCTTGAGCACTAGTACTGCCAATTGCATAGGAAATGACGACAAGAGATAAAGTGGCAGTGATCAACTGCATCAGAGCACGATTGTGCATTTTCTAGACAATGTATTCATTGTTCTCAACTTGAGAAGAAGAATTAGCATTATTATTCTCAAGACTTGGAACAAAATGATCAGGACAAGAATTAGATCCATTGACAAATCCCATAATTTCATGACCCTCTAAGAGTAATTGCATTTGAAATTGCCAATTTAAGTAATTGGAATCATCAAGTTAACATTCATAGAAGTAGAAATAGTAGAATGGGGGCAGTTATCGAAGATTGAAGAATCTGAAGTTGAGATGCAGTTACCATGGTTGTAGATATCAAATTGAGAGATGCATAAGCAATAATCAATAACATAAAACACTTGATGTGCAAGAATCTCCAGATGACAAAGAAGAGAAGATGGCAATCGCAAAAACCCTAGGAATTGGATCAATAACCACAACCGCCAAGAAACACAGAGATCAAAGACAATCTTGAATTAGTAACCTAGGAAATGAAGAGCGGAAGCAATCGATTAATCGAAGAAGAAAGCCCAAGCAGCAATGGCAATGAAAAGAAGGAAGCTCAAAGGTTTCCGTAATTTTCTTTTTCTTTTCTTAATGAGCAAGTCATTACAGCAACAGTACTTAGCTTTCTCTAACAACCTTAACAAACTAACTCTATATTTTCATTGACAAATGACACAATCAACAACCATCCAATATAAATATACCACGTGTAAAATAAAGACATTTATGTTCGATTGACTACTAAAGCTATTGATCTACATATTGTCGTGATGATTCAACTGTTTACTGATCTACATATTGTCATAGATTGAAAGTTTAAAAGTCCTTAAGTTTAAATTTGAAATTACTCCATATGCTATTTTTTTCAAACTTGGTGATCACCTACCCACCCCCATCATAAAAAATTGACCGCAACGACTTGACAAAAGAAATGTCTCCAAATTGGATTTCCTCTAGTTCTCAGGAGACATGCAAGACCTAGCCAAGCAAGTGTATTTCTTGGGTAGGGCCCGGAAGTTGTGCATGGCATTTACCTGTATGCATGAAGCTGAAATCCGTATGGCTTTGGGGAGAGATATCTTCACTGCAGCCAAAACCCTCTAAAGCTGATGGAAAGCGATTTGCAACATTTTCCTTGTTCTACTTTTCACTTTGGGTAAGTCTTCTGAAAAATTTAAAATTCAAAAAAAAAAAAAAGAAAAGTAAAAGGTTTGTTAGAAAAAGAAAGTTGAATTCTTGGCCTCTAGTGATGGCAATTTCCAAGCTAACCAAGCTTATCTAGATATATAATTCTAAAGCTCGTGAAAAGTCTATCTTGTTAATTTGCTTAAGGTTAATATTTTGAAATTGTTGAGATGATTCAAACGAAATTGCAATTATGAATTGCTTGAAAGAAGGAAAAAAGAAGTGAAACGAATTGAAAAATCTTTCTCTTATTTTATATAATAAAAATATAGAAAACGGTTACATAGTACGAAAAAAATTATAACTTTGTCAAGCTTAGTTTTACAAAGTTTGTTGAAAAGGCTTAAAATTTACCGTGTGATGTTGCCCAAGATTTACCACCGGAATGTCGTAAAGGGTCTCTGTTAAGTTGGTGAAATTACCCCAGATACTGCACCGGGAAACGATCTGCAGACAAGGCCCTCAGGCTTGATTAGTATCGAAGTATGGCCATGAATATCATCTGCAGTTTTTGTATCTCTTAATCTTGTGTATAGTATATAAATAAGCTTAATACTTATAAGCACCCTCGCTATGTTCCCATCTGCTAGGAAACCCCCTTTCATATCGTCATAAGATTAGACATCCTAAAAGTTTGTTTTTCTACACGAGAGCTCTTAGGGTTTTATTCGGAATGAACATAGGCATTGCATGATGATAGAATTTAATTATGAAGTGTAGATTTATTTACAAATTTTAGTTTTATTGTTAATTTCATATTGTACTTGATAGTAATTATGCAACTGAATAAAAAAAATAATTCACGCTTCAGCATTGATTTAAAAAGATAATCATATACAAGTTCAAATAAAACTTCTCATATATTAGCAGTCTAACAAAATATTTATAATAATACTACGTATTTCACAAATGGCCGCATCCATCACATAATTTTACATTTACAAATTTACAAGATAAGAAATGAAAATTTATTGTTGCTCTTTTATCAGTTGAGTGGGGGGCCAATCCGGCGGTTTACAAATTGAGAAAATGAGACAATTAATTAAGGTAGAAAAGGATCTCTTTTTCCCCTAATTAAAAATTAAGAAAACAAAGTAAAATCACTGTGGGTCCTTCCCACAGTCCCACCAAATGTCACAATCCTGAAGACGTTTTTGCTCGCGAAAGCCTCAGTTTCCCACTTTTCCTTCTCTCTCTCTCTCTCTCTCTCTCTCTATGAAATGAAGAACCAGTCTCACTCTCGCTGCTACTCACACTCTTCTCCTTCTTTAACAACCCCCAGCACTCTGCACTCTCTCTAGCCCTCTTCTTTCTCTCTGCTCACTCCTCCCAACCCATTTCCTTTGATTCCACAAAATCCCACCGGCCGCTCGACTTTCTTGTGTCGAGGAAAAACCGGGGCAGGAGGAATCAGGACTTTCAGAAACCCAAAAATGGAGAAGAAACAAGGCTTCTTCTCTGCTCTCAAGGACGAGGTGGTTCGGGGTCTCAGCCCGTCGCGGTCGCGCGCCAGTAGCCCGGCCCGGTCCGGGTCGCCCATGACGGGTCTGCTCCGGAGGAAGAAGCAGAACCATCACGGAAATGGGCACGGCGGCCAGCTGGTGGCCCAGCCGGACGCGTTGATTGGGAGATCCGGGAGTCTGAGGCCGGTGATGGAGGGTCCGGATCCGGACGGTGGGGAACTCGGGGATTCGAAGCGGGTCGGGTCGGGTTTGGGCCAGTGGATGCGAGGGCAACTCTCGCGGACTCCCTCCGTTAGCTCCGTCGCGCATAACAACAACAAGAGGTCTGATCTGAGGCTGCTGCTTGGAGTCATGGGCGCTCCTCTCGCCCCCCTCCACGTCAGCATCTCCGACCCTTTCCCCCATCTAAGCATCAAGGACACTCCCATCGTCAGTCTCTCACTCTCTCTCTCTCCAACTTTCTCTCTCTAGCTTTGGGCCATTTTTTTTCCGGACTTTGTTTCTTCTGAGATGGCAACTGTAAAATAGCAACAAAAAAAGTTTGGGGTTGCATTTGATTTTACGAAATAAAATTGATTTCATGCATTTTGATTTTGCTGCGGACTGCGGTGGTGGTATTTTGAATTTGGATAAATTTCGCCTGCGACAAAGATTATAAGAGTTGGGTCTTGGGTTTTGGATTTATTTTACAAAAATGGTTGGATTCTTTTTGCCTTTTTCTCCCAAGAAAAAAACATGTTGGGTTCGTTCTTTGCAATGGGTATGATTTGCTTCTTACGGTATAGATTTCCACTGATTATTTTATTTCTCCATGCTTTGCGTATATTTGAAGAACATGATTGGATGGTTACGATTTGCATCCAGAGTCCTTATTTGTTTAATCCTTTTTAAAAATTGGGTTTTCTCCAACTTCTCAACTGTGATGTAGACGTTGGTGATTGTTTTTTTAGTTACCTTCTTCAATCTCGGTCCCTTGCTGGTTGGCAAGCGAGAAAGTTAAGTGAGAAAATCAGAGCCAAAGGAATCTTAAGCAGCCGTTACATGTTGCTGAAAGTTTGAGCTCGGCAGGCCGATGGGATTAAATGTCTTGTTGAAGTATTTTCTCATTTTCCAGATACTGACAAAATTTTTATTTTGAATCGTACCTTTGTTTTGACATTTTCTCACCAACCTATCAGATCATGGCAGCTAGTAATTTTATTGTAAAAGATTTTTTTTTAGATTGCACTTCAGATTCAGATTTGATTGCGAAAAATTACGCTAAATGTGATTTGAGATTGTAGATGTTGGGTTGGTTTTTATGTGTGATATCTTTGCAGGAAACTTCCTCTGCCCAGTATATACTGCAGCAGTACACAGCGGCTTCTGGTGGGCAGAAACTGCAGAACTCGATCAAAAATGCTTATGCGATGGGAAAGGTTAGGATGGTAGCTTCTGAGTTTGAAACGGCTACTAAGGTGATGAAGACCAGAAATGCTTCTAGATGTGCCGAGTCGGGTGGGTTTGTTCTCTGGCAGATGAATCCGGACATGTGGTACGTGGAGCTTGCAGTGGGGGGAAGCAAGGTTCATGCTGGCTGCAATGGGAAGCTTGTCTGGAGGCACACGCCGTGGCTTGGTGCTCATACTGCGAAGGGACCCGTGAGACCCTTGCGTCGGGCACTTCAGGTGAAGTTTTGTGCGCTTATTGGTGCTTCTTTCTGTTGTCCATAAAATTAGTCGTCCAGGTTGCTCATAATTGTTTTTGGAATTTTTTTTTTTTTTCAGGGTCTAGATCCAAGATCTACAGCTAGTATGTTTAGCAATGCAAGATGTATAGGAGAGAGGAGGATCAATGGTGAGGATTGCTTCATCCTCAAGCTTTGTGCTGATCCTCAGACTCTGAAGGCCAGGAGTGAAGGCCCTGCAGAGATCATACGGCATGTGTTGTTTGGTTACTTCAGCCAGAAAACAGGGCTTCTTGTTCATATAGAGGATTCGCATCTGACTCGCATCCAATCCAATGGTGGTGATGCCGTTTACTGGGAAACCACAATCAATTCATTCCTGGATGATTACAGGCCTGTTGAAGGAATCATGATTGCACATTCAGGGCGTTCTGTGGTAACCCTTTTCAGGTTCGGTGAAATGGCAATGAGCCATACCAAAACAAAGATGGAAGAAGCTTGGACCATCGAGGAGGTTGCATTTAATGTTCCAGGCTTGTCAATGGATTGCTTCATCCCCCCAGCTGACTTGAGATCAGGGACAATCAGTGAAGCGTGCGAGCTTCCTCATGATGAAAGGGGAAAGGGTGGTGGGATTGCAGTAGCAGCACATCGGGCCAAAGTTGCTGCGCTGGAGAAAGAACATAATGCTAATGTTGATAGCCTGACCTGGAAGATGGAAGTCTAATAAGAAGGGGGTGCAGTTAATTAGGGCAATTGTTTATACTGGTAGCGAGTTTAAATCAGCTAACACCTTAGAAGTTTACAAAGTAGGAGTTGCGTCGCGTTTTTGGACCTTGGTTTTATGCCTCTTAATCTGTAAATAGAGCATGATTATTCAGAGGGTTCACTTCGGCCTGAATGAATCTTTATACTCTCAGTGCAGAATCCAACAAAGGTGTTGGAGCTCGATTTTTCCAGCTGGGGATAGAGCAAAAGGAGGTTAAGTTTTAGTTTACCTTCGGTGCATGAGGGAAGGTGGCGAAGCTTGGGTATAGCAGAACCATTAACCTGGGATAATTCCACTAATTATCTTACGTCAAATCCAGGAGCGGCGATATAAGGAGATTGCCCATTTCTGGCATGGAGTTTGAAGCTTAATCCTGTTAGTTCGATAGTGTTTACTGTTTTTGGGTGTGTTAATCTTTGTGGTTGTGTGATGGATGCAGAAGTTGTACCTAAGGTAAAAGGAAAACAGATGTTTTTCAGGGGGTATGAGTTGAATTTTCATTTCTTTATCATTAACTGGTGAAACCAAGATATGGGTCTCTAGTTGTATTTTCTGGCACTTTGTCAGTGCCCATCAAGTATTTAATGTTCATGAATATATAGGAATCACCATCCTTCCTTTTCTTTCTCCGGTTTCTACATAAATTCTGCAATTTAAAAGCTTTAGAATTTGTTGTTTTATGTCTATATTCCTTCCAACTTCTTTTTGGTATTCTCTGTAGCAGTGAGGTCCTTTGGCAAATACTAATGGGTACGAGGAGATAGACACATGCATGTACAGAACGAATTATACGATAGATTTTTTCGATTTTCTTTTTACATGAAACAGACAGACACATAAATGTATATAATCGACGATGATGATACGAGATTATCTCCATGGATGGCTTGATCTATTGATTTCAATGGTGCTTGACAGCATCTAGGGTTTTTGTTGGTCACTTGGTGCTTCTTCCCCCTGCGGACATGCCCCCAAGTGATGAAGATTGAAGAAGGCTCCAACTGGTGTGGGGGTCTCTGCAACTTTAATGGGGAATACGATTTTTTAAACCATGCATTGACCGTCGGTCTGATCGAAGCCCACCAAACTAAACAGACACGGAGACTGAGAGTTAGGAAGGCAGTTGGGTTTGCATCGTTTGCTGCAATGCTTGCTAGAATATGATTACAGCAAGGCACTCTCACTGGGGTGAAGCAGAGTCCTTAACCCCATGTGATAACCTCCTCGCTTTCCCTTTCTGTATTAATTTTCCCTTTGCAGGCACCGTCTTTTTTATTTTTTGTTTAAAGTGATTGTCCTTCTGGTTTAGTTTTGGAAAATGATTTTCGTCCCTTTTTATCTTTCAAAGTAATTTTGTTTCTGGATTTTGGTTTGATTGAAAGGTCAAAAATATTTATTTTTCTTCTATGATTGAATGATTCAAAAAATCAACAATTAAGATTTTGCAATAAAAATTTAATGGATTTTGCAACATTTTTTTTTTTAATAAATGATATTATCTACAGTAAAAGGGTGAGGGAGTAAGCTAAGCTTCACAATGATCTAGTAATAATGTAGTTCAAATTCGCTTTTAGCAAGAACCGAACTTAAAACCTTTTACTTATAAATGAAGAAAAATATCACTAGACCGTAGTACTAATAACAGAGAAATATGCATGAAAAAAAAAAAGGTGTGACCACTTCCTTCAATTGCTCTCTTGATTGCAAAGTTGCCCCACTTAAGGTTGAAGGATCCACCGCATCATGATGTTTCTTAATGGTCAATGTCTGGCAATCGATGAGACGAGAGAAGTGAGTCTTTTTGGTTTTGTTTTGTTATGTTTGGTTCGTTTGGCATAGTGGAGGAGGAGTAGCCTTTTATAGAATAGGCTCCACACATTATAAAAATACATATGACATGCATCAACGTCAATATGCCTATTTACCCTTTTGGTTTTTACCTTTGTTCTATGTCTAGAACAAGTAGCTAGCAAAGTAGCAACTTTTGAGTGTTGCACTTATTCATATGATTGAGTTAGTAGAGAGATGGAGAAAGATATGACAGGTTAAAGATTAATAACGTCTGGTTATCAATTTAATGAATGATTAAATAGTAAAATTGGTTGACCTCATAAAAATTTTCAAAACTTTATAATGCAGCATGAGAAAATTAAAAGCTCGTGACTTATTTTGAAAATCGCTTAAAACTTAAAAAGTGTAAAATGTAAGTAACCCTAAAATGTTTGATTGAAATTATACTTGTATTTCATGCACCCTATAAAAGTGTGTTTCTTTGTATGCGTAGTTGAAAGACATATGAAAAACCTGAATACTTTCTTTTGTTATAATTGAATGAATCAAAAATGTAACTAATCTAATCTTGACTTACTTTCTCATTCACTCTCAACTCTCACCACCTGGACTAATCCCAAAAGTAAAACTCACAACATGTATATATATATATATTAACAAAGGATAGTATCTATACTAAGGGGATAGGGGGGTGGGCTTAATGACACATCCCGACCTGGAATGTCCATTAGGACTCCAAATCAAGATGTGCTAGCCGACACCTGGAGGGTGACGAAGCCATAAAGTATAGTGATGTGGAAAATGTGAATAAATTTAAACCTAAAAGTACCTAAAGACAAGAGTGCGCTATGAGCGGGGATGAACCCATTTCACACGTGATGTCAGAGCATAAGTAAAGTACAGTAGTGTGGATAAGGATCATACCCTCAGAGGTAGCCACATATACTGAGATTTGCAAAGAATCCTCGTCGATACGAACTTTCAGCAGCTAAAACCCGGAGGGGCGAAAAACAAAGGTGAGTAGGCCTGAAGAAAAAGTTTTAATAAAAACCTTTTGAAAACTTTATAACCCCTCGTCGTAAAACCCGTATAATTTTCCAGAAAATAATAATACATACTTATATAGAAATCATGCTCACGAGTAGTGAAAACCGAGTATATGTCATATCAAGTATCTTAGCAATGAAATAAGTAAACTAGGTGAAATAAATCAATGTAAAATGATATGTCAGCCGGAGTCACCTAATGTGACCTGTATGGCTGAACCCATAGCTCATTAACCAATTCCTGCACATGAGTCGGAACCACCTAATGTAGTCTGTACGACAGGGCTGGGTGTAAATAAGTATGCTCAAGTGCTACGATCACGTGAAGTATGTGCGAATAATTGCAGGTCAGCTACAAGCCGGAACCACCTAATGTGGTCTGTACAACAGGGCTGTGCACCAAACTTGAATCCAAGGTGAACGTGCGGTGCAGAAGGTGAACATTGCGTGAAAGACTGTGCCCTGGCCATAGGTGGGAGCACTAACACCGAGATGCAGGATAATGAGCTCTACATGTCTCTACGTATAACTATAACCAATGCAACCACTAACATCAATATGTACTCACCTGAAGTTTACCTGGGCGTCCGCAACATCATGCAATACTATGCATATCTATACTAATGCATATACTAAAATGTAATGCAATGGACATGGCATTTAAAAACATAAATCCATTTAAAACAATTTCTGGGAAAATAGAAAACATATATATGTATATATAGAAAACCAAAAGCCCACTCACCTGGAGTCTACACTACAACTCCCTAGCACAAACATCAAGGCGTCACAAACGATCGGCGCCTAGAACAATTATCAACTTATGTCTTAGAATTCTTATCATTAGAACATATAACTTACATATCCTATTCGGGAAGATCCATACGTCAAATTCTTGATCCATAAGTTTCTAATATTCTCAAATATTACGTATTATAATGTATCAAAGTTTGGTGACGATCCAATGGTTGGATCGTCAATTGCTATAATAATCAAGCGGCAAACCTTAATGGAACTATGTTCAAATGACGAAAATTTGTCAATCGGACATCACCAATCGAATCAGGGTATTCAAATTTAGCCTAGGAAAGTCAGGGGACGTCTCGCCCCACGCGCCGCCGCAGGTGGCGGTCGACCGCCCCGACTCGCCGAAAAATTCAACTATTTCTAAAAATCCTCAAACTTCACAAAAAATGAATATCTCAGTGAATATAGCAACTTTCATACCTGTGACTAAAGCCAATTTGGCTGGGAAATGTCCCAATTTCATCCAAACCCGCCAGAAACCCTATAAAGGGTGCTTCTTCATTCGACCTCCAAACTCACTCCAATGCCACAACAAACCCCTGGGCTTCGTTCCTGAACTCAAGAGGAGTCTAATGGTAGTGGTGGTTGATGAGATTTATTTCAGAAGTGGCGGATCGCCGCCACGTAACCCTCGGCACACCCAACGTCGTTCTTCACCAAATTGGATGAAAACACATCGAATCTTGAGTTTAAAAGGAATAAGGAGGGTCGTGGAGTTGATTATAAGAGGAGTGTCTATGTAATTTGTCAAATTTCGGCCGAAATCTCGACGGAAAATGGTGAAGAAGACTGGGTTTAGCGGGTCAGGAACCGGGTCATGTGGGCTCCGGGTTGGCTGCATCCTCCCTCTCTCCTTTCCCCTCTTTTGCTCCTACTCTCATTAGCCAGCATTTTTTCTTCTTCTTTCTGATTGGGCATCCCGCCCCTTCTTTCTCTCCTTTATATTTCATCTCCACCTCTTTAAATCTGGGCCACACACGTGGTTGTCCGGATTAGGCTCCAAAAATCTAGCGTTTTCTAGAAAATAACCAATTTACTAAAATGCCCCCGACTTTAAATGTTAATATCTCCCTTCGTTATAACTCCAAATCACGTTCCGTTTGCACCCACGCATTCATAGTGACGAGTACTACGAGGATACGTCAAGAAAATGAATTTTACGTAACTCAACAAGGCAGTCAACAAAGTCAACGCATTTGCCTTGAAGGGCATTTTCGTAAATTCACTTTATAAAATCGTAATAATTGGGGATGGGTTGTTACACTTAACATCACAATTGGCTAACAATAATGTGGTTAAAATTCATCTTTGGCGATAATCGAACCTAAGACCTTCTAATTATAAGTGAAGAGAAATATCAATAAACCGTAGTACTAAGTGGCAACTCACAACATATTTGAATCACAGGGATACGTGTGGTTATGTAATAGTTTTTTAACTAGAGGTGTGTGGTACAAACCACAAAATAAAAACAACCTATGGGACAAGTACCTTGAGCCTTGAGTTCACTCCTTTTGGGCAATTGGAATTCCCTCTATTTTAGCAGCATATGATTCATCTCATCTATTTGGCCATCATCTCAATTTACTCATATCCAAATTTACTTACCTAAACATGTTAGTGCATTCCAATTCTACCCTTTTTTATTTTTTTATTTTATGGAGAACTGGAATTCTATTACCAAGATAAAAATCAAGATTACAACAAGAGCCCACTAAAAGGCAAACAACTAGCAAAACGTCTAAACAACAACAACCGGTGTAAGGGAATACAAGCAAGAAGGACGCTGCAACAATTGCAACCGCGTTTAGTACCAAATAATTTTCTTGATTTTTATTTATTTGTTTACATTTGGTGTAAACCAGGAATTCTTTTGAAGCTTTGTATATTGATCAATTGAAACTGTTTATTAGGAAGCTAATAGCAATACAAATTCAACCAATTTTTTGTGTGATGTATACTTTCTTGCATTTGAATTA